CCCTATTAGCAGATTTTTATAGCTATGACTCAATATGTAGTATAATCTATTTTTTGTATGTTCTGATTGAGTAGTGTTTTGTAGTATCTTTGTTAGATGTAAGAAATCAATTATAGTTTAGGAAGTAGCGTGTTTAGTAATATGAAAAAGTGGTAATTTACTTCTATTTTGTTAAATCTTAATAAAATAACATTTGTTTTTGAGTTCAACATTTTAAAAAATGAGAGCTCTTTTCTGCTTGATTATTTTATTCATGTTTCAGTTTGTCATACTTTGTATCTTCCTCACATTTTGACTGTTCAAGAATAAATACTCTTCAGTCAATACTTTTAAAAAACTTGAATCAACACCAGATTTGTTCTTTTAGTTAATTTCAGTACTTTTTACTTTCAGTTAGCTGGATTTTAAGTTTATTTGGAGGACCCGAGGGATACAATTAAAGAACTTTGGGAACTATCCTTCATTTAGTTTTTGGAACAGAAGGAAATATACTGTAACTTTCCCTTATTTTTCTGGTGGAGAGGTTCCCCCCACCCCAACAGGAAAATGCAATTCCACTAAGATTCTTGGGTCATAGATCAGAGGCTTGGACCAGCATAGAGAAATGAGCTTTTGGAAGAATTCTCATTCAATATTATGGGCCAGTTTAAACTGTACTGTAGGCAATGACAGGCCGCTTCATCTTTCCCTGTAAGGAAAGGCAACATTGCAGTACTGTTTACCAGAAAAAGGAAGGAGGGCTATTTGTGTGTGGGGGGTGGTGGGGGTGATGGGGTGGTGGGAGACGAGGGGAGCTCAGGGAAAGATGAAGGAGTTTACTCAAAAATGTTAGTTTATCTAACAGTACAAGCAGCTTCTCAGCTCTTTTGGAAAATCTTAAAGAAAGGAAAGTGACGCTATGCTGAAAGAGAATCAGAATTTTGTTAGTGAAATTTGTCCAGTGGTAGTCAAATCTCATTTCTGCCAACAATGAAGATGAGCAGCTGTGAAGAGAATCCAAGAAAACACTTACATTTGACCTTGGAGAGCATTTTGTGATTATTTTTGTTTCAGATTAAATGTTGTGTGTATGTGTGTGTGTTTGTTTTGGCTCATAATACTCTTGAGTAGAAGGAATCAGATTAAAATTTTTAAAAATGTTACAGATAACAAACCAGTCCCAAAACAATTAATACTTGGCTCCTGGCTGTATTCTTTTATATAATTTGATTTTCTAATTAAATGTCATCTCAAGTGTTTCAACTATGTCAAGAACATTGTTTTGAATAAATATAAATTTATGATATATAATTATCAGTTATTGGTAATTTTTATCCAAGTTTTCCTAATGGAAAGGAGGGAGCACACTACGTAACAGAATCTTTCCTGTCTTTTTCAATCATCTTAAAATCCTTTTGTAAAAGAGTGAAGCTATAGGGTAATATTACACTGAACAAAATCTAAGACTCTCTTCCAGCACCTTCATTCCCACTCTGCTCCATGACCAGAAGTGGCCACTGTCAACAGTGGACTCCACCAGGCCCTGTAGTTGGACTTACATGCATCAATATGTATATTTATAAGTTTTTAAAACAAATAGAGCATATCATTTGTATATGTGTACTGTTTTGTGATTTGACTTTTTTACCTAATGCTATACTGATGAGGTTTTTCCATATCCCACATGATGATATACCAGTGGCATGTATGTTATTGTTATTTCAATTTTATTCTTATACATTTATTTTAAATGGTGTCAATGAATATATTATTATTGCAAAAAATTTAAGCTATACAAATAAAACAAAAATCCTCTTTGAATTCCATGCAACCTCATTTCATTCTCCAGAGGTAATTCTCTGTTACTAGTATTATGTATGTATATTTCGTCCTTCTAGGTTTTTTTGATGTATTTATATACATCTATATATTTACAGGTATATGTGTATATCTCTCTTAAAGATAATACCTTGGTACATAGACATCTACCTCTTTATATTCCATGGTATGGGTTAACCATAATTTATTACCATTGTTACTGGTGAACATTTACATTGTTTCCATTATTTGACCGTTATAAACATTGTTACAGTAAACATTCCTATACATGTACACATCTTTGTGTACTTATTCAAGTTTTCCCTAGTAGAGAAAAAAGAATTGCTGGATTGATGGGGATGTGCATTTTAGTGTCAATGAGAACTGCCAAATATCCTCCTGAAAGCCTTATACCACTTTTGTCTCTTACTATTGGTAAATTTTCTATACCTTTACCAATAGTACTGTTATCATTTTTTCAAAAAAATTTTCTGTTCTCATAGATCTCATCATTTTAATTTTTTCTTTTTCTTTTTATTATTTGAACTTTTATTGCCTATTTTTATTTTGGGTTACTTTCTTTTACTGATTTGTAGATTTTTTTAAAAGTCCTTCTGTTATATATATTGCAAATGTTTTCTCCTTCTATGTTACTTGTAACTTTATGATATATTTTATCACATAAAAGTATTTAATTTTTAAGTGGTCAAATGACTGTTATTCATATCTGCTTGAATTTTGTTTCTTTTCTTTTCTTTTTTTTTTGAGACAGAGTCTCGCTTTGTTGCCCAGGCTAGAGTGAGTGCCGTGGTGGCAGCCTAGCTCACAGCAACCTCAGTCTCCTGGGCTCAAGCAATCCTGTTGCCTCCGTCTCCCGAGTAGCTGGGACTACAGGCATGCGCCACCATGCCTGGCTAATTTTTTCTATATATATTAGTTGGCCAATTAATTTCTTTCTATTTATAGAAGGGACGGGGGTCTCGCTCTTGCTCAGGCTGGTTTTGAACTCCTGACCTCGAGCAATCCGCCTGCCTTGGCCTCCCAGAGTGCTAGGATTACAGGCGTTGAATTTTGTTTCTTACGTAAGAAAAAGGCTTCCTTATACTCATATTTTTATAGTTAAATGCTAAAAAAAGATCAAATATTATTATCTCTGGGACATTTATAGAATTTGTTTTCTTTTACTGATTTGGAATTCTACCTTTATCATAAATTTAGTTCTCAAATACATGTAGTTCTGTTCTGAACTCATTTTACTTCTATTGACCTATTTGTCTACTGTACTGCCAAATCACATCTTTAGAAGACTAAAAATTTATAAATTTATAAAAAGTTTGCTACATCAGTGAGAGCATATCTCCCCATGTCAGTCTCAGGAATTTTTTCTTCTGTGTTTTTTCATCTAGCAATGTTTTATTTATACTGTATTACAAAATATCACATAAATTCCTGTTGGTATTTTGATGGTTATTATACTGAATTTTCGATCACTCAGGGATAGATTTGACATTTTTGTATTACTGAATCTTTTGTCTGGGAAATGTGCCTTTACATTAATTCAGAGCTCATGTGGCCTTTGGTTAAGATTGGTGGTAGTTAACCTAAAGGTCTTAGATATTTTAGGTTTATTTCTGAATAAAACTAAATCTAATATTTTATTTGATTTGTTACTATTATAATTGGCATTAAATATGTTTTCTCATTTATTCATGTATAAGGCTTTTGATTTGTTGTTGTTGTTGATATTATAGCCAAAGAACTATATCAGCAGCCATTAGTTCTAATGATGTGTCAGTAATGGAATATCAGTTTATTTATTTGCTTTTTTTAATGTTCTAGAGTACCACTGTCCAACAGAAATATAAAGAAGCATACATGTAATTGTAATTTAAATTTCCTAGTAGTCATATTAAAAAAGTAAAAAGAAACAGATGAAAGTAATTTCAATGATATACTTTACATAGGATATCAAAAATATTATTTCAGCATGTAATTAGTATAAAATATTATCGAGATACTTTACTTTTTTTTGGTATTAAGTCTTCAACGTTCAGTATATATTTTATACATGCAATTTTGACTACAGTAGTTACATTTCAAATGCTCAATAACCATAAGTGGCTAATAGCTACTGTATTCAACAGTACAGTTCTAAGTGGACCAAGAAATTGCTTGCAAACAATGAAGAGTTTTTCCTATTTTTTCTCTTTTTTTCTTGCTTTAATGTTTTTGCTTGAAGCACCATTAGTACAGTGCTGATATTGATGATATTAATGGAAGTATTTACAATGTTTTTGTTTGTTTGTTTTTCCACCAGAAAAATTTGATTATTTCACTTTGATTTACATGTCATTTAATACTTACAATGTTTGACCACTATGGATTTCTGGATAGATGGACTTGAAAAACCAAAGAAGTTTCCTTCCTTTTCTAGTTCGTAAGAATTTTTAAAAAATTAGAAATAGGTTTTAAGTTTTATTTTAAAAAGTGATGTCTATTGAGATGACCATATTTTTCTCCATTTTTTTAAATGAAGAGAAATAAATTAATACTTTTAAAATGGTGAACAATTCTTGTCTTTTAAAGACAAAGTCTCTTGATCATGGTTTTTATTTTTTTAAGAGACAGAGTCTTGCTCTGTTGCCCAGGCTAGAGTGCAGTGGTGTGATCATAGCTCACCTATGAGCCTTGAACTCCAGGACCAAGTGATCCTCCTGCCTCAGCCTCCTGTGTAGCTGGGACTACAGGTGTGCATTGCCCATGCCTGGCTAATTTTTCATATTTTTTGTAAGGATGGGGGGTCTTGCCTTATTGCTCAGGCTGGTCTGCAACTCGTGGCCTCAAGTGATCCTCCCACCTCAGCCTCCCAAAGTGCTGAAATTACAGGTGTGAGCCACCATGCCCAGTCCCATTTATTCTTTTAACAAATTTATCTACTGGATTTCATTTGCTTTTGTTTGATCTAGGGTACCTAAAAATAAAAATCCATATTTATTTCTCTGTTTTCTTTTAAATGCAGTCAGTCCTTGTCCAGTTTTTATATCCAGGAGGATTTTTCTGGCCTTATCAAATGTGTTTTAGAGATATAAGTCTTGTTCTGTACTTTGGAACTGCTTATTATAATATATGAAACAGAATATTGTAGAGATTTACATTCATCATATTGGTGGTAGCACATCCTCACTGTGTGTTTTCTTCTCCAGCTGGGCTCTGGACTGTCTTCACGCTGGGCGGCGTGGGCAGCAAAGCAGCCACTCCTCCAGAGCTCTCTTCCCCTCTGGCCAACCAGAGTCTGCTGCTTCTGCTGGTGCTGGCCAACCTAACAGACGCTCCCGATGCTCCAAACCCCTACAGGCAGGCCATCATATCTTTTAAGAACACACAAGGTTTGTGACATTTTCCCCTAATGATCCTTCTAATGAGGAGAGTATTGTTTACTCCATATCGTTTATTGTCTTACAGTTTTGGAGATGAGTGTCTATTGTATATTTTCATATTGGCTAAAAATGAGAAAAGCTTATGAGTTTTCTGACAATATCCTCAGGAATGTCAAACATATCTCAGAAGAGGGCTGTGATCCTTAATATCAATTTAAATAAACCTTTCTTTCAGAGATAGCCAAACCAGCATGTGCTTTATGTGGACTGGCTTGTCCTACTTTTAGGGATAGGAATTATCCTGGAAAACTTCTGATACGATGTTTTAAATTTTAATTTAAAGTCTATAATCTAGTTAGAGTTTTATCAAACTAAAAATTAAGATATAAATCAGCAAAGTTTTTTTCTGTGAAGGGGTGGTGGCTTTGTGGCAACATATGTTCTCTACCCCTGCCATTGTAGCACGAAAGCAGCCATGGATAATTCATAAATGAGTGAGCATGGTTGTGCTTCAGGAAATCTTTGTTTCCAAAACAGGTGGTGGGCTGCCTGTGGGCTGTGTTTTGGTACTATAAAAAATGTGTTTTGGTACTATAAGAAATAGTAATCTCTTGTCAAAACATTACACTTTTAAAAGCCACATTACTATAGTCATGTGTTGCTTAACAATGGAGCTGTGCTGTGTGGAATGTGTTGGTAGGCGATTTTGTCACGTGAACATCATAGCATGTACTTACATAAACCTAGATGGTGTAGCCTACTACACACCTAGGCTATACAGTATAGTCTATTGCTCCTAGGCTATGAACCTCTACAGTGTATTACTGTACTGAGTACTGTAGGCATTTATAACACAATGGTAAGTATTTGTGTATCTAAAACATGTATCTAAATGTAGAAAAGATAGTGAAAACACGGTATTATAATCTTATGGGACCACCTTTTATAATACATGGTCCATCATTGAGTGAAATATTGTTATATGGTGCACGACTGTAGTTAGATTTTCTAGATGTTTCTAACAGTCATATAATTAAGATGGGTGGAGAAGTATAGTTATTGGATAGGAAACATTGTAAAGGCTTCTGATGCCCTGTGCCATGTTCCTTCCAGATCTGTTCTAATACATGTTTCATGTAGACAGTGGCTGAGTGTTAGCTGTGCCATTGACAATTTTGGCACCATCATTTACAGAGTGTCTTAGTCCATTTGTGCTGCCACAACAAAATACTTGAGACTGGCTAATTTATAAAGAACAGCAATTTATTTCTAAGAGTTCTGGAGGCTGAGAAGTCAGTCCAAAGTCAAGGTGCCTGCAGGTTTGGTGTCTGGTCTCTGCTTCCAAGGTAGCACCTTCTAACTGTGTCCTCATGTGGTGGAAGGGACTGAAGGGCAAAAAGGGCTGAATGCTGTGTGAAACCTCATTTATAAAGGCCTTAATCCATTCATTGGGGAGGAAACTCATGACCTAATTACCTCTTCAAGGCCGCACATCTTAGTATTAATATTATTGCCTTGGAGATTAAGTTTCAACATGAATTTTGGAGGGGACACAAACATTCAAGCCATAGCACAGGGCAATAGGGAGTCAATAACAATTTGATGGTTTAAAAAATGAAAATTCCTGTATCTGGTAGTAATTTTTTATTCCCATCATGCTTTTTAATGCATTAAAATATCAGTTCTTTGTGTTGTCATGTTCCAGTGTTTTATTAGATTTGATTTTGATTTTCTGTGAATTTATCACTTGAATTTATCTTTATCTCCTTTTTTTACTTCCTAACCTTGCTTGCTTCAATTCCTATGCAAATCTAGTTAAGAGTTGGAAAGAGGCTATGTCAGTTTTGGAATATCAAGAATTTTCCCAGTATGGGCTGTGATTTTTGCTTTTCATTATTCTAGTGATTATTCTTTTCAAAAAAAGTTTCTTAGCAGTTGTAGTCAATTAGGTTTAAGTTTTCCCTTAAACAAAAAAGTTATAAAAGTTTCCTGGTAGTTGTCTTAGGCTTGGTATGTTCTATTCATTATAGAAGCTAATGTTGAGCACAGATGGTCCCTGATTTACAATGGCTTGACTTACAGTTTTTTGACTTTATGATGGGGTGAAAGCCGTATATGCTCAGTACTATATTCAGAAAATTCCATGAGATATTGTTATAAAATAGGCTCTGTACAGGGGAACTGTACATGTTCTGAGAACATTTAAGGTAGGCTAGGCTAAGCTATGATACTTTGTAGTTTAGGTATATTAGATGCATTTTCAACTTAGGATATTTTCAATTTATAGTGGATTTATGAGAATGTAGCTCCATTATAAATTGAGGAGCACTTGCAATGATTTTGATATTATTTTAAAACTAGCTAAATTATATGTTCTGGCCATTTTCTTAATAAATGGATTAATAACATTGGTGAGTACTTCAGCCATGATTTATTCATTTGGAAGAAATTAATCTAATTTCAAGGCTGTTTTTTCTTTTTGACTCTATTTTACAAGAGGACTTTCTGCCTTATATAGAAACTATATCCTTCATCTCTAGATGTCTCTAGGATTGATGGCCATTTAGCTCTCAGTGTCCTGGTTAAATTGTAGCTATTAGAGAGCCCTTTGCCTAGCACATAGTTCTGTTTATTTAAGTTCATTTTCTTATGTCAGCTATATTAATGGGAAAATAATATCGAGGTCACACTATGTGACTTAGTTATTTTTAAAATAACGTTTAAACTATAAATTGAAAGTTTGACTCTGAAATGTAGTGATTTTAAGAAAATTAATGGGAATTAAGTTGTACACATTACTTTAACAATATTTATTATTTATATAAAGCACAATCCAGAAAATATTGATATACTATTTTTCTGTATTCCAGATAGCAGTCCTTTTCCGTCATCAATTCCACACACCTTCCAGATCAACTTTAATAGTTTGTACACAGCTCTGTGTGAACAGCAGACCTCTGATCAAGCGACTCTCCTCTTGTATACATTGCTCCATCAGAACAGTAATATTAGAACATACATGTTGGCCCGTACAGATATGGAAAATCTTGTAAGTATCTTATGAAACAGTCCATGCTTTTCTTATTTTATAATATTTTGAAGACTAGTTTTCCAAGAGGATCAGTCTGTTTGCCTGATTACCACAGTGGTGATGGTCAGGAGATAGGGACATGTAATCAGATACAGGCAAAGGGTATGAGTTTCTCTGGTGAATGAGATAGCTACTGTTGAGATTGCCTTACAGGGCAGAAACAGCAGAGTCCCCAGCTGGCTTGACAAAGTTTTCTTGTCTTTGAGGTCTTTAACAGCCACCCATTGCCCATATTTCAGCCTGATTAAGTCCTCTGAGAAGCACCCTCTGCAATTCTCAAGGAGATTTTTATATCCTCTTAGTCTCTTCTAGTTGCTAAGTGCCTGCCCCATTAGCTTCATGTAATTAGTCACACTTGCAGCATATTCTTGATGAGAATAGCTGAAAGGAAGGGCAATTTTTCAACTGAGGTACCCAAGTGCCCCATCGTTTCTGACAGGCTTAGACTTTAGAGGTATCTGCACTCAGTTCCTGGAGTGTTACAGTTATTTTAAGGTACCTTTGCCAGACATCACTTAAATGTAAGTAAAATTAGTTTCCAAAGTTTTGCTCATAGACAAAAGCTTCTATAAGCAATCATTGATTTCCTTTAGAACTAATGTATAAACATGAATATTTATTTAAGGGGAAAAGTAAACTGCCTCACCAAGATGCTAATATTGTTTCAAATATATAGTATACAGATAACTCTGGACCTTTCATGTGTTCTTAAAAATGTGAACATTCCTGAAATAGGCAGCAGCTAACTGACAGCAGCAGAATGTCCCTTCTGCACCAGTTTTTATGGGTTTGTGGCAGGATTCTCTAGGTATCTGGTTACTGTTTTTTTAGTGTTAAATCTAAAATACTGTGCAAATAGTGAGGAAACATGAATTAGAATTCATTAAGCATATTCTACATCAAATTGACACTAAGAACAAAAATGTGATGAAAGAACCTGTGTCCACACTGGCTATATATAGGAAACATTGGATTAAATAGCAAAATTGAGAGTAAAGGTATACTGCTCATGTGAATAAAAACTTCTAAAGAGAAGGCTGGTTTCCTGATGGGTGTGTGCATAAGCCACTGTGCCTGGCCTTGTGTAGACTACTTTGATAATTTCTTAATTTATGTCCCATCTGTCCTTTTGTCTTTCTTCTATAATGTTACTGAAGCTTTGGTTAGAAACTCTGTTATCAGCAGGAAATTTTACTGTACTGTTCTTATTATTGCTAACAATTCTTTTATTCTACAATCTTTGATATTAAGATGGTAATGTTTGACACAGTGTTTCTAAGACTAGTGTATTGTGTGTAAGTCCCTGTAAGGCTGGAAGCAGACCTGCATCTATTCAGGATCACGTGTTGATGGTCTGACTCACTGCTGTTTGACTTGACTTGTTTTAACTCAAGACTATTTATTAATCTAGTATAACTTCTTGTGATGGATTTTTAATTGGCATCTATTAGGATAACAATACAAGGACTCCTAAATTTCTTTTTCTGTTTATGAATAGTGTGTAGGGGGAGAATTCAAATACCTGACTATTAAGAACAGGATTTAAAAGAGCATTCTTTTTAGAAAAGCCAATTGTGGATATGATTTTTATTATTTTATTATCACAAGCAAAGTGTTTCCCAAGAAAAGTAGATAGACATTTGAAATAGTCATAATTCTTTTAGCTGTAAGTAACAAACCCACTTATGCTTAGCTTAAGCAAAAAGGAATTTATATGCACAAATTAAAAACTTGCAAGTTTTTTGGCTTCAGTTATGGCTGCTTCTAGGGTCTTAGTGGTATTGTCCAGTCTCGGTCTCTCTATCCCATGTCTCTGTTTCCACAGCTTTGGCCTTATTTTCAGGCATAGACTCTCCAAATGGAAAGATAGATGGCTACCAGCAGCTCTGGGCATATGTCCATTTTATAACTCCTGAGCCTAAAAAGAAGAATAATTATACATTTATTCATCCATAAAAAATTTCATTAAAGTCTCTAGTAGTGTCTTCGTGGGTTGTGCCCACTTCTTTGATCAGTCGTTATGGGAAGGGGCCTAATGTAAGCCACCATAGCCCCAAGGTTAAAGGGGAGTTCCTTATACTCTGAAAACTATAAAATCTTGTTGAAAGAAATGGAAAAACATACCATGTTCATTGATCACAACACTTAACACTATTATATTAGTATTAGTGTTAACACTTAACATTATTATATTAATAATATAACAATACTCCCCAAACTGACCTATACATTTAACATAATACCAATGAAAATCCCAGCTGATTTCTTTATATAAATCAACAAGGTGATTCTGAAATTCATATGAAATTGCAAGGGACCCAGAGTAGCCAAAGCAATCCTGAAAAAGAACAAAGTAGTTAGACTTACATTTTCTGATTTCAAAACTTACTACAAAGCAACAATAATCTATATAGTGTGGTACTGGCACAAGGATAGGCATAATAGATTAATGGAATTGAATTGAGAGTCCCAATATAAACGACCATATAGCTATGGTCAACTGACTTTTAGTTAGGGTGCCAAGACCAGTGTGGAAAGAATAGTCTTTTTAATAGATGGTCTGGTGTAACTGTATAGCCACTTGCAAAATAATAAAGTTGGGCCTTTACTTCACTCCATGTACAAAATTAATTCAAAGTGGATCAAAGACCTAAAAAGAGCTAAAACTATAAAACTGTTAGAAGAAGATATGTGAGTAAATCTTCACAACCTTGGATTTGACAAATGATTCTTGAATATAACAACAAAGGCATGAGCAACAAAAGAAAAAAAACATAAATTGCACTACATCAAAATAAAAAGCTTTTGTGCTTCCAAGGACACCATCAAGAAAGTGAAAAGACAGCCTAGAGAATGGGAGAAAATATTTGCAAATCATTTATCTGAGAAGGGACTGTGTCTAGAATAAAGATCTTTAATAACTCAGTAATAAAAGGACAACCCAATTAAAAAATAGGTGAAAGATCTGAATAAACATTTCTCCAAGAAAGATATATAATGGCTAATAATAACACATGAGAAAAAATACATGACATCATTAATCATCAGATAAATACAAATCAAAACTGCAATGAGATACAACTTTATACCCACCATGATGGCTGTAATAAAAAAGTTAGATGATAGCAAATATTGGTGAGATGTGGAGAAATCTGATTTCTCCTACATTGTTGGTGGAATTATAAAATGGTGCAACTACTTTGGAAAAATCTGACAGTTCCTGAAACAATTAAGTAGTTACCATATGACCCAGCAGTTCTGCTAGGTATCTACCTAAGATAAATGAAAACACATCTGCAGAAGGACTTGCACTTGAATATTTATAGCAACATTGTTTATAATAGCCAAAAAGTGGTAACAGTCCAAATGCCCATCAACAAAAGAATGGATAAATGACATGTAGTATATCTATACAGTAGAATATTATTTGGCATAGAAAGGCATGAGATCCTGATATATGCTACACATGGATTAGCCTTGGTAACATGCTCAGTGAAAGAAGGCAGTCACAAAAGTCTACATATTATGATTCCATTTATATGAAAGCCCAGGATAGGGAAATCTGTAGTTGGAAAGTATTAATAGTTCCTTTGAATGTTTGGGGGTGGGGAGAAATAGTGTATTGGGAAAGGTGATAGCTAAAAGGTATGGGTTTCTTTTTGAAGTCATGAAATGTTCTAAAATTGACTGTGGTGAGAGTGACATATTTGTGAATATACTGAAAAGCATTGATTTATATGCTTTAAATGGATGAGTTGTATGATACTTAAATTATCTTAATACAGATATTTAAAAGAAATAATTGAAGGGCTATTCTGACATAGTCCATTGGATCCATTAATCTTATTATTTATTTCTTTGACTATACCATTTACTAGTCTACTTTGTCCAGTAAAGTACATGGTCTTGAGAACATTTTTTTGGTGTTATATAGGTATTATGTACTATAGTCAAGATGTGTTTCCTACAGGCTTTGCCAGAAAAATAACAACATGATATAAAATATATAGTCATGTGTCGGTTAGTAACAGGGATATATTCTGAGAAATGTGTCATTAGGTGATTTTGTCATTGTATAGACATCGTACTTAAACCCAGATGGTATAGCCTACTACACACTGAGGCTATATGGTATAGCCTATTGGTCCTAGGCTACAAACCTGTGCAGGGTATTACTATAATGAATACCGTAGGCATGTGTAACACAATGGTAAGTATTAATATTTGTGTATCAGACATATGTAAATCTAGAAAAAGTACGGTAAAAAATACAGTATTATAATCTTGTAAGACAGCCGTTGTATATGTGGTGTGTCATTGACTGAAATGTCATTGTATGGCACATTACTGTGTATTGAAAACTGCAGAATCAGAATGAATGAAGGTTGAGTTAAATGCCTATAAAATTAAACTATGTTATCTAGGTAATGTTGAGTGTGAGTACAATGTATTATGTTTGACATAATGTCAGAAGTTCGTTCGTTCGTTCTTTCTTTCTTTCTTTCTTTCTTTCTTTCTTTCTTTCTTTCTTTCTTTCTTTCTTTCTCTTTTCTTTCTTTTCTTTGCTTCCTCCCTTCTCCCCTTGCCTCCTTCCTCCTCCCCCTACCCCCTCCTCTTTTTTTTTTTTTTTTTTTGGAGACAGTCTCACTCTGTTGCCCGGGCTAGAGTGCTATGACATCAGCTTAGCTCACAGCAACCTCAAACTCCTGGGCTCAGGTGATCCTCCTGTCTCAGCCTGCCAAGTAGCTGGGACTACAGGCATGCACCACCATGCCTGACTAATTTTTTTTATTTTTTGGTAGAGATGGGGTTTCACACTTGCTCAGGCTGGTCTAGAACTCCTGACCTTGAACGATCCTCCCACCTTGGCCTCCCGGAGTGCTAGGATTACAGGCGTGAGCCACTGTGCCCCAGCGAGAAGTACTTTCAAAAGGCCATGGCTAGAATGTATAAAGAAAAAAGAGCAGTGGCTATTTTGGTAACTGTGGTACGCTTAGTTCCTGGAATTTAGTAATGCTCATGTACCGAACTTCATAACATAGAGAAGTTTTAGTTACAACTTATAAAAGAATAAAACACTCACGGCCACACTTTAAAGTTCCCTACAATAGGTGTGCCTCCCACAAGGTATGGTATGCCCCAGTGTGCGGTATACTTTCCTGTTGTTGTGGGCTTTGTATGCTAGCCTGTGTTTTAGAGACTTGTGTATATGAACAATTTACTCATTACAGGTGTCATCTAACTTAGATTATAGATTTTTTTTGCTTATTTTCTAGCACTCAGTTGATAATGTTCATGGTAGTTTCATGTAAGATATAACATGTAGCTAGTGTGCCCATATTTAAGAGATACTTTAATGTATTTACTTTAGTAAAGAATGAACAAACTGAAGGTGTCACAGTAATGATTTGAAATAAGCTAAATTGGTCTGTGTGTAAACAGGATTTAAAACGTAATGTTTGACAGATAAACCGAAGAGCAAATCTTGACATGTATGTTGAGAAAATGCACCTTGGATTGCAATACTCTGTTTAATTATATGTTTATTTGAAATATATTTTTTTATTTATTAACACTACAACACAAGTGATGCTAAGCACATAAGTTCAAATGTTAATTTATGAGCAGCTGTTTGCTCCTCCTTTAATGGTTAAGTCGGAGGAAAGTGAGGAATGTGACTTTTTAAAAATTTTGAAACAAACCATGAGTCTAAATGGTATCTGCAAAACCCACCTTTATGTTGGTTAGCCCTTCAGAGACCTTCACAGAGCTAGTGATGATTTTTCTGTACTGGTATCTTAGCTATACATACGGAAAGTTCATTAAATCAAAAGTGGGTTTGTATTTTTTTATAGAAAAAATATAACTATGATATTAAAGCAAAAGGTATAATAGTATACAGGTTTAAAACATTTGGACTTACAATAAAGTATTGAAATAGTAAATTATGATTTTTATTCCCCAGGTTTTACCAATTCTTGAGATTCTGTATCATGTTGAAGAAAGAAATTCACACCATGTGTATATGGCCCTTATAATACTATTGATCCTTACAGAAGATGATGGCTTCAATAGATCCATTCATGAAGTGGTAAGCTACCATTACTTATATTAGAGTTAGAGTTACAGCATAGACATGTCCCTCCATAAGATTTACTACAGTCTTAGCATTTCTTCTGTCTTTTTTTTTCCTGGTAGATGTTTCTTTGAGAACCTGGATTAGAAATGGTATGTCTTTCTTCAGATTTATGAAGTGGTGCTTTTTTCCCCAACTATTAGTCACTATTACAAATTCTCAGCATGGTTCCTTAGTAATTGATGCAAATGTTTTTGCTGCTACTGGGTTCATTTTTCTTCAACATTTCATTTCCACTTTTTAATGCACCATACATTGTTAAGCAGGTTTGCTCCTTGCATACAGGATGAGAGAAGGAATAGAGAACAAAAGGGAGAAGATTGAAAAATTGTATTATATATATTGTATTATATATATATTTTAAAAGAGTTTAACATAATTTAACTCTTTAAATTTTGGTTCTGTTGGAGAGTTTCATTCCCAAACTGGTTTTATTTTTCTCTTTGACATTTTCTTTGTGTCAGCGTAATACATGTATATAGTTCAAAAACTTACATAGAAGTATGAGGTTTTAATGAAAAATAGGAGATCTATGTTCACCCTATTCCTGATGCCTACTCCCCAACGACTAATGCTTTCAGCTCTGTCCAAGTTTAGTAACATGCTTATATTGTTATTTCTTGAGTTTTTAGATGTAGCTAATGACTTATTTTCTCAGATGGAAAATAAGTCATTAGCTTTCCTTCCTGCCCACTGCATGTGTTCCCACTGGGTTCCCTGTGCACCTGCCAGCACATAGACTTTTTTCTTTTTCCATCTCATTGCCATTTTTGGTTAACTCAGCTTTTACATTATTGTGGTTATCTCAGCTATTACTCTTAGTTCAGCTATGTAGTATAGGAGAATTGCATTTCTTGTACATGTATTACTAATTTCTGTGGCACATCATTGCCTTGTTTTTTTATTTGTGTACCAATCACTAATTCACCCACCAGTACTTCAACAGAACTAAGAATCCCTCTATTCAGAAACATATTTCTTGGGTTTTCTTTTTGGATTCTTGTTGTCAGCCACACTGCAGACTTTCCTCAAGAATCTGGTGGTTCTGGCTGATGTGTTCATCTGTAGGAGTAAGCACTAAAGAGTTGATTGGAAATTCTGTGTGTGGGCAGGGCTTAGATACTGTATCTAGTTCTATATACTGGGACTCTTACCCTGTAAGACTCTCCTTTTAGGTGGATTGGTTCTCAGAGGATTCTTCCAATCTCCTCGCTTGGCCAGGGAGTGGTGGGATCTATAGAAGAAGAAAACAGGGCTTTCACGCTTCATAGGGCAGAGATACCTCACTTTCTTCTTGTTTTTAGTAGGGCTTTTATGTTACCTTTACTCTAATGTTCCTTTAAACTTTTTTTGCCTCTTACATAGTATGATCATAAATTATAGTATGACCATAATTTCAACTAAGACTCAAGGAATCTTGACCATTGGGGAAAGAGTACAAAACATACAAATTTCTTTTTTTATTATATACAACATGGTATTTTGATATACACAAACATAGTGAAATAGCTGCTATAGTCAAGTAAATTAACATATCCATTATCTCATGTAGTCAGCCACCTTTTTTGTGGCAAGATCACCTATAATCATTTAGCAAAAGTCCTGAATATAAGGCAATATTATTAACCATGGTCCTCATGTTATACATTAGATCTCTAGTTTTCTTCATCCTACACATCTGCAACTTTGACTTATGTCTCCCCATTTCCCTCCCTCCCCCCCTTCTCCATAACCGCCATAATTTTCTCTCTCTCTGTGTATTTGACTTTTTAAAAAGGATTCTGCGTAGAAATGAGATCATGCAGTATTTTTCTTTCTCTGTCTGGCTTATTTCACTTGGCATAATGTCCCCAGGTTCATCTGTGTTGTGGTAAATGGCAGGATCTCTTTTTTAAAGCTGAATGATATTCCATTGTGTATACAGTCACATATTAACAACAGGGGTACATTCTGAGAAATGCGTTGTTAGGTGATTTCATCACTATAAAAATCTCAGAGTGTAGTTACACAGACCTAGATTGTACACACCCATGCTATGTGGTATAGCCTGTTGTTCCTAGTCTATAAACCTATACAGCATATTACTGTATTAAATACTGTAGACAATTGTAACATAATGGTAAGTATTTGTGTATCTAAAATATCTAAACATTGAAAAGCTACTGTAAACATATAGTATAAAAGCTCCCACATCTCTTTATACTATTCTTTAGAAGAAGAAACAAGTAAAGAGACCCACTAAACTTGTTTTTCTCTCTATATTTGGGGGTTTTGGTGAGAATTTTCAGGATTTTGTCAATTTTTCTGAGGGACTGCTACAAGGTAAGATAGGATTTAGAGTCAAGATGTGTCTCTCAGCCCTGCCCTAGTATTTTTCTCCCTTATTAGTTAAAGACCCCAATACACCTACACTTTATATGCCCAGGCTTTCATTAGAATTTTTTACCACTACTTTTACCATTTGGTTAGCCTGAGATTTAGAATACATGTATTGTTTAATGAAATTGTTTAAAGGACTGTGTAGTTACTTTGTCTTCTCAAAAGAAAGTATCTGTTTAATTACACTATGGGACCAAGACCAGCATGCTATTGGTATAAACTCAGTAAGCATTTAGTGAGCATATACTGTTATACTGTGGTAACAGTGAAATGAATTTTAAGACACAGCCACTTTTTAAGTCTAGCTTCTAGTTTTTATTTGCCAGATGAGTCATGTGCTTTTATGCTATTCTCTAAATCATAGAGGTGTGGTAGAGTTTGAGGAGATTAAATTTGGGCTTTAATCTATTTGTTCATGTACTACTCTTCTAAGTGAAAACTTTAAAATTGTGATTTCACAATTTATACTCTTTTTATGCCTGGAGTTGTGACACATGCATTCCTTTTGATATTTCCTTTTCTTTGCTAGCCCTCTTCCTTTCAACCATAGAAGTGTTTATGCCTCACACAAAGTAGTCAATAGAAAAATGGGGAAAATAATAGAAAATTAGAATACCTGAATGATCAATAAGCATTTCAAAAGGGTGTTCAACCTGATGTTTCATGATGATCATGCTAATTAAAGTAACTGAAATACTTTGTGACCATCAGAGTGGCAAAAATTATGAAATCTGGTATTTCAAGAGTTGGTGAAGATAATAGAGAAAAAAAGACTCATGTGCTAGTAGTGAGAGTATAAATGGTGGAACCACTTTTGAGAGGAATTTGGCCTGTTAAATAAATAGTCCACCTCCCAGCAATTCTGTTTCAGGGTTTACATCTTAGGAAGAACTTCTGTATAGATTCACAAGAGCATATTTCAAAGAATTTTCATTGTAGCATTATTTGTTGTATTTGCAAATTATAATCTAAATCTCCATTAACAAGAGAGTAGATAATATAAATGAAGCACTGTAAAGCAGCTAGAATCAATGGAGCTATGTGTATTGATAATAATAAATTTTTAAAAATACCCAATTCAGGATAGTGGCTGTCTCTGGGGAGGGAGGTTAGGGAATAGGATCAGGGTAGAATAGGTAGGGAGCTTCAGAGACGTTAGCAACATAATTAAACCCCTATTGCTAAAAAAGATAAAATAAAATCATTTTAATTTAAATACCCATCTGTGGATAGTGCTACTGTGTTGGACACTGCTGCTATATGCTTTTTAGTATGTTAAAATAGTTAATAGTTACCAAAATATATATTTATTTTAAAAAAGGAGATTGTCAATGATTTAGCAATTCTGCTTCTTGGCAAACTGTTACAGATGTACTTTTTAAGTCACGTACAGCTATTTTTGTTTTCAAAAACTATGTGATTCCTGAACTTAGGTAATTAAAGTCCAGATTTTAAGAGTATGGAGAGCAAGTAATCCTTGGTTTCTGGGTTTTGTATGGTAAGATTTGGGATAATAAGGGTAAAGATCTATATTGTAACATTGTTTTTAATAGATAAACAACTAGAAATAACCTAAAGTTTGATTAATAGAAGAATGAATTTAAAATGCGGCCTACTGGTATAATACTCTACAGTGGTTATGTAGAATGAAGTAGACTTGCTTGCAGCAGTGATATTCGAATGATTTAACCAGTATGGCACAAACATCAGACAATAAGAATAGGTGTGGACCATAGTCCTTTGTTCTCTGCTATGTATTACCTTAGGGGAGTGGCTTGAGGGTTAGGGTTAGTATTCCTTCTAAATTAGTATTCCTTCTAAAATAACTAGTACTATCAGACTATGGCATACTTGGTGAATATTCTTTTTATATGTATCAATATAGATGAGTTACACAAACATGTTGAGTGAAAAAAAAATAAGATGTAAATAAACACTATGTGTGTTAGTTTCCTAGAAGTGCTGTAACTGAGTACCACAAGCTGGGTGACTTGAAACAACAGAAATTTATCATGTTCTGGAGCCTGAAAGTCCAAATTCAAGATGTCAGGAGGACCATGCTCTCTCTGAAGGCTCTAGGGGAAGACCCTTTCTTTTCTCTTCCTAGCTTCTGATAGTTGTGGGGAATCCTTGATGTTATTGGCTTGCTGATTTCATTACTCCAGTCTCTGCATCTGTCATCACATGGCAATCTCTGATGTAGGTGTCCATCTCTGTCTCTCTCTTCCAGTTCTTATAAGGTCACCAGTCATTCTGGATTTAGAGTCCACTTTAATCTAGTACAATCTCAACTTGATTACATTTGTAAAGACCCTATATCAAAATAAGGTCATATTCATAGGTTTTGGATTAAATAAATTTGGGGGAGATTATTCATCCTAATACATTATGTTACTATTTATGTATGCTAGAAAACACTCAAAGCATTGCTTGGGTTTTGGTTTTTGTGTATGTATATATATATTAATATGTATATATGCAGGTAAAGTAATTGAAATGGACTGGAAAGATATATACTAAACCCAACTGAGTGGTTGTCCCTCTGTAGGGGAATAAAATGGGATTTATATTTAAAA